CTAGGCCGTCATGTAAATGCCGCGTCACGCAAAAGCTTAGAAATTCAAGCGTAGTGTATCAAAAAACCAATAACCTACTCGGAGCGAAAATTTGTATGAATATTAGTTTTCAGCTACTCTTATACATGATTAAAGTGAAATCTCAGCAAGATCAATAGTTTTGTGGTTCGAATTTTAGTGACGTCATGTGAAAACCAGCTATATTATAATGGCCTTGCAAAATTTTTACAGTTATTTGTCTTGCATTAGTCTGCAAGGTTCCCGGGGGGTTGTTCTTCTATATATAAGCGATGTGGGTCTGTGCCGCTGTGAAGGGCGGGCTTTTCAGGCAGTTAAGTCTGGGGTAGGGTATAGCCTTCTATGCGAACGCTCTTCGGGTTCGTCACGCAATCTTCAATTGCGTCACAAGCCCGAAGAGTGTCTGCGTAGGAGACTGGGGTAGGGTATGGAAATCGGACAATTTTGGTCTAGAATGAGGTATAATTTACCGGAAAAGTGGCCAAATTGAAAATTGAAACCTCAAAAGTAACTTTGCAAGATATTGGTTAAGTTAGCGTATGTTGGACTACGTGATAAAGTTTCTGCATGGCACAGCTAGTGTGGTTTAGGGTAGGGGTTTTGGTGTCTAGGCTAGAATAGAGTTGCAAAATCAAGCTGATCATGTTTAGTATAGGGTAAGGGTTTCAGTGTACTTGCGACACACCCCTACTCAGTGATTTACAAAGTACCTCCTCCCCGGACAAGGCTCACCTGGAGAATTAGCATTGTTGACATTTGAATTTAAGTCCCTCAGTTCTGAAAACAAAACAAAAAAGAATTCCTAAATAAGTAAAAGTTGGCCAGAAAGTTTCTCATGGAGGAGGGAGAGGGGAAGGTAACGGTGTTTCTCAAGCCCATAAGTTTATTCGCAGACGGCCAGAACTCGTGCTAGACCCTACGTGCGACTGCGTTATGGTTTCATTGCGTTATGTTTAATAAGACAATGTAATGGTGAAAGTGAAGAATGATCATCGCAGTAATTACTGCGATGATCATTCTTCACTTTCATCTACAACCGCAGTTCAAATACGAATTATTTCATATATACTTCAGATCATTTCACTCCTCACGGGAAGATATGAACTTAATTAATTGACCTCGTTCCCAATGTGTGGCTTCATAGCTCAGTTGGTAGCATCGGTAGCATCGCACCGGTATCGCGGAGGTCACGGGTTCGAATCCCGTTGAAGCCCTGATTTTTTCAGGCTTCT